TCTTCCCCATCAGTATGTGAAAAGGGTTTGTCAGGAGCTACAAACACATAATGACTGGCAACTGGGGACTATAACAGGACAGGAAGCAATTCCACTTGGATGGCACTTTGGAACTGGATTGCCACAAGGATCATTCAAGAAAGCCCAGCTACATCCTGCTGTAAGGTTTAAGGACTGTACTGGAAAAACATCCCACTAAAAAGCTGCTCCCATGCATAATTTAAACATGTTACAGGCAATCCTGTCCAAGATGCTTGCTCTGAAGTGAGAGCAGCAACAACTTCAGCTGCAGTACAGGACTCCGGATTTTCTGTTTTGATTGAGTTTTTTGTTTTTACTTGGAGCATGTCATTTTGTAGAGTAGCAAAAAGCAAATACATTCAAACCAATGTGCTGTCATGATTTTCAGACACATTGTTTATCACAGATAATGAGGGTCCAAACAGACTGGAATCTATGGTCACAAGTGTTTGCAAACTCTGAAGGCTCTTATGACTAAGAGGACAAAGAACAACATGGGAAGTACCTGGAAGTTAGTGAGCAGAGCAATCCCACTGTCAATAGCCATCCTCCGAATCACATAATTATCATGGACAAACTTGGTGTTGCTGTTGGGAAGGTTAATCACCAAATCTATTTTCCCATCCCTTACCAACCTGAAGAGACAAGGCACAAGACAGTATCACACAATGTCCTGCTTAATAAAAACCTCTGATGAATAGCACAGGCACACAGGTAAACAGCAATGAAAAGGTTCATTTGAGTTTAGTCTTCACCCCAAGAAACAAGGGTTAAGGGGTTAAGGCACTAAGCTGCAACTCAGGAATTTGGGCTTTACTTCTGTTCTAATCAGATATGCAAAGCAATATTCAGCCTTCATACAGCTCAGCACAACTCTGCTAAAGGCATGACTGACTGTCATTAAAGGCTGAATATTCAGATTTCATGTATCCTTGCATGAAAATGTAACATGGAGCAATACATCCAAGCCATATTAAGTAGGACTGTTCAATGAGATGTTCATTAATTAAGCTGAAACCTCTCTGCTGTGGCAATTCCAGACAGAATCAGATAGACCAAAACTTTTGGATTGAATCCAAAGCCCCATTAAATCCCTATCATTGATCTCAGCAAGACCAGCAATTTGCCCCTTGTATTTGTTGTCCTGGATGTTAACACAAATTTGACAAGGTGGGTGTTACTCTTACCTCCTGACTGAGGGGAGGCTTGGACTCTGGCTTTCCTGTGATGGCCATGCCACAGGATTTGCTGGGATACCATTAGCATTGAGCCAGTCTGAGGTTGCTTCTGTGGCATAAATCTGAAAAAAAAAGAGGTTATTTACTGTATTCCTCATAATATCAAAACTTTCCATTTAACTCACGTGGGTCTGACCCAACATACAGCCTGGTTGTCAGAGCTGATTTTGAAGTCTTCTCCATACAGGGAGACACACACAGAACAGAATGACTTTCCCAACTTCTGTTACCTGTGATTTCCTGATGGATGATAGTCAATGAATAGTAGTAACACATCCAGAAGCAGTGAAATGGTTTAGGAAAACCTAAATCTCTCAGACTTTCAATAGGGCTTAAGTTCAGTCACTTACAATTTTTTTTGCCATTTTTTTTTATGCCTAGCACTAAGCTTTGAAAGGCAGAGCTGTACAAGCTCTCTCCAGTCTTCTGTGGCTGTGGTGTTATTTGCCTGTCCATAGAAACCTGGATGCCAAACAATGCAGAAGAGTTACAAGGGGGATGTAAACACAAAGTTAGTATGTCTGCAGCTTGTGAATATCACTGAAAACATAGCACTACAAAGATCTCCATACAAAAGACTTTCCCTTCCTCATCTCCTGCCACTCATGGCATCCTGTTGACACTTTTACTTCCCGGAGAACTTGGAGGAGTTTGTAATGTCCATCCTGGCTGCAGGCTGATAGCAGAGCCAGGGCTGCTCCTGCCCTCACAACAGTCCCCTATGTTCAACTAAATGATCATGAAAACTTTTAGTTGGGTGATACCTGCTGACTTTATGGATCACTTGGCTAAAAATTCCCGTTGTACACTGAAAATAAAGTTTTTTCCCCTCTATCTCTAAAGAAACTCCAACTTTCCTGTATCAGGCTGAGGACATTTCAGATTTTGAAAGCTCTCTGGCTTTAAATAACTGAAACCACCTACCTTGAAGCCTCTCTCATGCAGTAGCTCTGCTACACTGAGGAATCTGGGGCGGAAGGACTTCTGAAAAAGGAAAGATTTTTAGATACAGCATCAAAGCTAGGATTTATAAACAGTGCTTTTCTGGGCAACACAAAGCTCCTCCAGACTGTGCTAAGAGGCAAATAAACATTTCTGAGCTGAGAGTGAGTGTGTGTGTGTGTGTGTGTGTGTGTGTGTGTGCACAGAAATTTCTGCCTGTGCATACACAGTGCCATTCCCAAGACAACTGCCTGCATCCTGAACCCAAGTCACTCTCAGCTAAGACATATTTCGATACAACACCAGAGTAAGTGCTCCCATACTAAGTTCAACTACAACCACAGAATATTTACTACTGCATATTAAATATCTGGGCAATTGCTTCCTCAAATACACCAACTAGAGTCTCCTCTGCTCTTAACTAAGCATCTTTTCAACTGTTGCTCAAACATTCAGCTTTCTCTTCTGGCAGGTAACATATATGGGCTGGCTTTGGGCTGCCTTTGGGTGCTCTACATTCACATGAATAAGAGCCTGTGTATGTGTGAGTTCATTTCTAACTCCCATGGGCATATGGAAATAGAAAACACAAAACCACTCAGGAGACTGGGACACTGTATTCCCATGAGGACTTGCATGCCTAGATACTTAGGACACCTCTGAAAGACTCTCTCATAATGCATACTCAGAACCAACATAATCTAGAAAGATAAGACCACCTCCTGTAGACATCTGCACTTGAACAAGCCATTTTAGATTTACAGGTGAGTGAAAATTTGATGACAGCATAAGTATCATTGGGATGTTGAAGGTACAGCAGTGCAAAGATCACACACAACACATGTCCTCACTGCCAAGGCAAGTCAAACCTTGCTTTTAGCCTTAGCCTGGTCTGGCCATTTGCAAGTAAGGTTATTGCAGGCTCCCTTGTCCCTGCTGGAGCTACTGATAACTTAACCTTTATGGGCAAGAGAGCAATATTGTGAAGGGCGTATGATTTCCTATGGAGAAAAGGAGTAAACAGGGTGTTTTTCCAAGCACTCTGGAAAGAACCTCATTCTGAAAGCCATCTCCTTCTGTACATTAGCTGGAAAATATAAATATACAATGTGACAGGGTTGGCAGCTTCCCAGTCAGAGAGAACGGTTCTGCCTTCTGGTCAGGGGGTTGGCTTTCACAACAGTATTATAAACTTCTATCAAACATGTACTGAACACTTGTGACACATAAAACAGCCTCTCCATGAAAAGAAATTACAGCTGTCAGCTTGTATCGCAGCAGCCTCAGATTTAGAGGCTGGCTGAAATAACCTGTGTAAGAAACCATTAGTTACTAAAGGTGAAAAGTACAAGCAGATTTATTTAGTGGAAGATATTTATTGTAGGAGAATTGTATTCTCTTTCCTTTATCGGAAAAGTTCCATTTCTTATAACCTCTCCCTCATGTTTGCCAGCAAGCCCAGCTATCTGTAAAGGGCTACATCCTCAGCTCATTCAGTACATCTACACCAGTTCTCACTGAGATCCGGCTCAAAATGCAGCCAGCTCATCTCCTGTGATAATCTTGAATTCTGTATCCAAATCCACTGCAGAGGATGCAAAGATTCTGGTACTTAAGGAACCAAGGCAGAAGGTTACCTTGAAACAACAGACTTGAAGGGCTGGGATTTAAAAATAAAGTACTCTATCAATGCTTTCCTCATGTTGTGGTCAGCAGCACAGATGTAAGACAGATGCACTCCATCCCAGAGATATCACTGAATAGCCCAATCAGGAAAGGAAAAAAAAAGAGCTTTTCAATTCCTCTTGCATAAAATATAAATTATTTAATGGTGAACTCAGAGTTTCAGCATCACTGATTTCTCCAGATTGGGGAAAGAAAAGAGGTCAGATTATCAGATGATTCATTTGTCTAGCAAGGGAGCTGAACTTCATCCACCCTGGGAGAGCATCAGGCCTCTAAAATCCTGGGGATCCTCAACCTGTGTGCTGTCAGCAAGTGCTCACAACTGCAGGACTGCCCAGCAGGCTCATGGTCCTGGCTGGCTGCCCATCCAGGTGTGTTGTGCTGTCCCCAGATGTCAAGGAGCACTTGCCTGCCTGACCTTGGGAATGATTACTTGGTTATCCACACCTCTGCATGGCACTAGTAGGATTGTCACTGGAACTTCAACCTGTAGCACATCAGCCTGGAAGCCCCTCAGCAAGGCTGGCTTCATTGCCTGGTTGTACTGGGACCAGTTTGGACTGCAGATCACGACATAGCCATGTGACTCTTGATTTGCAAAACACCCCAGAATTAAACATTTGCAAGGAAACCAAGATCTCCCTCTCCTGTTAATTACATCCCTTTGACTTTCACCTTCAGCAAAGCAGCCTCCTCTCACCTCAACATGATTAATAGCAATGGCATAAAGGTGCAGCATAGCAAACAACCAAAATAGGAGCCTAGATAGTTTTGGGGGAAGCAGAAATCAAGACCATTCAGTTTCTTATTTCTCTCTCTGCAAGGGCTAAAATTCCAGTCTACAAATCAGACAAAGCTGCTAGTCATGGAGCACTGAAGCCTCTCAAAGTGGGGTGTACTTTGAGTTCATCATCCACTGCAGATGAACTATAGCACCTGCCTCAGAGACAACAAGGAGGATTTTGTACATACTCCTGGCAAGGATCAGGCCCAACAGCACCAGAACCCAAGAGCCTGCAGAAACCACCCTGTGGTTTGAAAACTAGAGGCCTCTGCCCAGGGAAGGATCTCCACCCTGTCACCCCCACAGGACTGACATTTAAACATTCAGTGATGGTGGACTGGGGCCACCAGGCATCTGTCCTTCTGAGCCTGTATTTCCCCTCTGAAGATACACCAACCACTTTGCCTGTTTGGGTGAGATGATCTCATGTTTGTGATTAAATGAGAGCAGTGCTGCTGGTGCTCACAGCCTGCCTGATGCCTCACTCCTTGTTCCTGTTGTTTCCACAGCGAGGGGCTCCCCTTCCCTCCAGCCAAATACTCAGGGAAGACCACTCATAGTCTGTATGTCAGGTCTAGGTCAGCATTTCAACCTTCCCTTCTCACCAGGGTCTATTTCCCCTCTGTTTCAAAGCAGGCCGTTGAAAAACAGGTAGGTGACAAACTCCAGAGTGGGGAGGGAGCAATATGTGGTCCTCAGCATTAACTTTACGCTTCTTGATTTGGAGTTTAATTATATAAGAAATATGCAGAGGTGCAGAGAGACCTTTAAGCGATTGATCTGTTGTTTTCAAGTTTCTTTTTGCGAGAAAATGAACTGTAAACTACTCATTAAAAAGGACAGAATCTTGTTACTCTTAAAAGGTTTGGGGAGTTGAGCTTATGGCATTGTTTTATCTTTTGTTTTTCCCTTCTTTTTTCTTTAACATCTTTGTACAAAGAACATTTGGATCAGTTGAACAGCTACTGACACAGAACCTACACAAATGCTTTCTATAGCTAAAATTACTCTTTGCTGCCTCTTCCTCTTTAGCTGCTATCAGGAAAATAGGCTTATATTTTAAACACTGGGCTCTTTCCTGTTTTCTTCTCCTGACTTTGCTTTTCTCCTGTTTTAAATGCTGCTTTTAAATCTGTGATGATTAGATATACAGTGGAGAAACAGTACTTACTGCCCAGAGTTCTATACTGAACATTTAAACTTTATCTAGGTAGCAGGCAAAGACTTTTCTGCTAATTTGAGGTAATTTAGAGCAACAGCTTCCATCCACAGATGTGTATATGCACACATTTAAGGACTCAGAAGTAATCTGTGTCAGAAGTCATGCTCCTTTCTAGACACTTTTCACACACTTCTTTCATATCCTCTGCTGGTACAAACAGCCAAAAACATTTTTCACACCCCAGCTGTCTGACAGGAAAATTCATCTATTCTCTGTTTTTGTTTAATCTGCTTTATGCAATCACATAGGGCATAAGCTTATTACAAGCACACCGAGAAAATGGCAGGACGCAATTAGTTGGTTTTACAGGGCCCAAGAATGTTCTAATTGCAGTAGAAATGTCTGAATTTTTGAGGAATGTACACACATCCCAAAGTTTACAAGTGTGTCTGACTCCAGCACCTCCTGCAGTTGGTAACTATTCCTTGATGAAGAACCAAGGCTTTTTGCTTTTCTGCCCAGCTCCCTCTTGATCCCGAAACACACATCCTCCTTACTGATCCAGGCCTGTGAATGGGGCAGGGCTGTTCCTAAGGCAAACCCATCAGGAACTCCATCATGTAAAGGGTCTTAAGCAGAAGCCATTGCACTGGAGAACATTCCCATAATGACATCATTTAAACTTTGTGTTACATAGAGCAACTTTCAGGTATGATGACAGCAAGAGATGAAACCCTAAAGTCCAAGCTCTAGTCTGGCATGGAATCACTGGACATGCAGAGTAGGTGTCTGAGAGACTCCCTAATTGGAGAGAGCTCTGGCAAGGTAGAGAAACCAGAAACATCACACCACAAATGTGGCATTGGCTCTTTTTTTCTGAGCTACTTACTCCTCACTGACAGGAGCTGCAGGGTAGGGAACAATACTGACTGCGCAGCATCATCAAACTGGGAAAGGAATGATGGCAGAAAAGTGGGCTGCAGGATGAAGGCTGTTGTCCTTTAACCCCTCCTGGCCTCACTGCACTCAAATATATTGCCATTATGACTTCTATGAGAAGAGTAATGTGACAGTGCCATACCTCATGGCCTGACAGTGTTACACCAACAACTAGTTCACAACACCTCAACAACATCATGTTTTCTGCACTGTCAGTGATGCCACAGCTCTGCCTGGAATGAAATATGTGCACTATGGGGAAAGCTTATCTGGTCCAGCTTTGCAGCACAGAAACTGTCTCACTGTTTGGGGAGTTGAAGGGGAACTGGTTTCAAAGGGGCAAGAGGCAATGTACAGATGAAGGGGTTTATGACTGGAAAGTAGCATTTCCAGGGCTCCCATTTGGCAGTGAGCATGGAATGGGCCTTGGGTTCCAGCTGGAATGTTTCTCTGAACTTGCTGTCTAAGGGCTTTGCTCCCCACAGGAAACTCTCTGATCTCAGGCCTCTGCTTGCAGCCATCCCCAGGGGTTTGCCCCCAGCAAACTTCTGCAGCTCCCAGTAGAAACTATCAAGAGGCAGAGGGAAAACCAACCAGGCCAGTCCTATTGAATCCAGTAAAGATCTCTCCATGGCATTTGTTGTCACTGTCTTACTGCAGTTCAAATGAATCATAGAGAAACACATTTACGCCACATTCATGAAAGCAAGGCAAGAGTTACTGAATTCCTCTGTGCCAGTCCTTCTCAGCTTTGGATTTTAGGACTCACCTGGATTCCAACCAAAATTCCCTTCTTAGGAAATGTAAACCCTGTGGCAAGCATAGCCTTCTGGAAGGCAGAGTACACATCCTCCCCAAAGCATGCAACCTGGGGAAAGGCACAAAGAAGGCAGAGTGAGGGGAAACACCAAAACCAACCCAAAAACATTGCTTTAAAACAGGAATGAAGTTTTTAAACAGGCTCGTTTGATTCTGCGTGAAGAAGTCAGACTGCTTTTGCATGGAGCCTGCAGGCACAGGGAGGGAGGGAATAAATCAGAAAATCATTGCAGACAAATCTCGTAATTTTAATGAAGCAATAACGAAGGAATAAGCAATGCTTTAGTTTTGAACAGCACACTGAGGAGTAACAACAATTGATTCTGCTGAGTTATTGAAATGCTGTACACAGCCTCTGCTCCAGTGTTTGGGAGTGCACTGCAAGTTGTGTAACATTATATAAGGCTTAAACACCAGTGAGGGTTCTGCATGCAGACACGTTCCTCTGTGTGTGCCGTAAACTGGGGTGAGGCAGTGCTCTAATGTGCTTCTGGCATTTCTTGGGAAGGAAAACCATGGCAGATAAAGATACTTTCCCATTAAAAGCTAAGTAAAATTTTAGTATTTACTTAAGTATTTACCACAAGTAAGCAATCACAGCAAGTTATAATAATTTATTTTAGATGAAATAAAACTTGAGGAAGAAACCAGTAAGAATCATTCAGCATTTCTCCAGCATTCAGAACTGGCTGTGGAGCTCTGTTGCTCACAGACTGCCATATGGTAACAATCTTTTGAAAGACTTACACCATATTCCTTACCAAAATTTGGGATTCTGGTGACAAAAAGAAGACAGCATGAGCTTTTGCAAAAGCTAAAAATGTGAAAAAAAGCAACCAACCAACCCTCACTTTTTCTGGCCAGGTCCACACTTGTTGAAAAACAGTCAAAACCAGAAACTGTCACAGATTTTTCCTCTTTGAAACAACAAATCTACTGACATATACAGATGGGATAAGGGGACTGATTGAGAATTGCTCTCTCATTTTCCTCTAATGGTCCTTCCCATCCAGGAGTGAGCCCTCACATTCATGGTCTCACTGTTACCATGGTGAGCAGAAACCAGTATTTCATGAAAGAACAACAAATGATGATTTGCCAGATCTTCTGAAGGAAAAAACCCACAACTAAACAAGTATCTCGGCTTTCCTCTTAAAAACTCATCCCTAAGTGTTTAGTCTGTTCTATTCCATGTATATCCTGGACATTATAAGGTGATGGGCATCCCCCTTGTAGACTTAGACCAGGGGTTTGCAGCCTGCCAGGAGAGGTTTATCATTATGCCATGGTCAAAACAGCCACAATGCTCAGAGGGATCCCCAGCATTGTGTCTTCTCCTGTTGTGGGAACAACAGATTTCAGCAAAATACACCTCTGCCAGACAGATGTGACAAATTCAAGCCCAGATCAAGCCATGCGTGTGAAAAATGTCTTTGAGGAATAATTGAGCACTTTACTTTACCCAAAGCAAGTTATTATCCTTACTTCACTCATAAGAAAGACTTTCATAACTGTCACACTTTATGGCATTTGTGAATATGGATCTTTCCAACTCATAAAAGTTAATAATCCCTCCTTTATGACCATGGTAATCTCTAACTCTGTATAAAGCAGAGAAAAATGATTCTTGTCCTTAGTTACATTTTTATTCTGTTTTGGGGGGAGGGTGGGGAGGTTTATCTGTGTATTCAATTTTATTCTGAAAATAAGGATGTCAGAGAAGTCACTTGACTTTTTTTCTGCCCATTAACCACACTGAAAGGAAATCTGCTGCAATAATGATTTCCCACACATTATGAAGAACAAAATAAAGTAATTCTGGAAAGATGTAGGAGAACTAAGGCTGTTCTTCCCTTGTATCTAGGTAGAGTGCTTTTTCATATTAAATGGTAAGTATTTCCTAATGAAAACAGCTCCTGTAGACATACCCAAGCTTGTATCCAATGGAGCAGTCCGAGCTGTGCCAACTGCACAGATATGGTAGAGCAGACTTAAGCCTAAACTAATTGCCTCAGTATTTAATCACTTCCCAAGTGGGGCATTCTAGCTCAGAATAAGTTTCTTGCTGCTGCAACTCTTTCTAGAAGTAACAGAGCAAGGAGGTTTAAAGATCACTTGGGTGTATCAATGGAGGCCTTTGATAGCTCAGCAATAACTCATAAAGAAACCTTTTGTTCTACATGAGTTAGTATCTCTTCAGATGATGTAGATGGAAAGCTGCACCCCTGAGGGTGAGGGTGCTGAGACTAGGCAGGAAGATGAACAGCCCTGTGCCCTTGTAGTATGCCATGTGAACACCAGACAGACATTCCAGAAGCACCTCCCAGCCTGGCTGGTGAAACTGTGGGCGAGGCTGCCCAGTCTCCCCCTCATCCTACAGCAAATACTGCAGCAGCCATCACATTTTATTCACTCTTTCTTGCCTTTTGCACCTTGGGACGTGCCTTGATGGTTACCAGGCAACAAGAAAATACCTCACATATTTGTTGCCTTTAAGTAAGCAGCACGTTCCAAGACCAATGGCTCATGGCCTGGAGTCTCGATGCTGCTATTCTGGCACGTGTCCATGGGGGCTTTGGAAGCTGTAAGCACTTGTCTGTCCAGGAGCAGATGATTCATAAAACAGACTGACACAGTGAGAGCCTCCCAGAATCCGACTGCTCTCAGACAAACTCATTTTAGGCTGTCACACCAACCAGGTCCAACTCAGGGAGCTGACATGCAGGTAAAGAGGGACATCCAGTGGCTGAATAATCTGAGTTTTCCCAGGACATTGTGCTTTTTACAGCTAAGAAAGATGTTTCCAATTTTCTGAAGAAGCTACAGATGCCATCATGATTCAGGCAGTAATAAGATCACTTTCAAAGATTCATGGTGTTAAAAGTCAACTTGCTTGAAAAGAAAAGGCAAATCTAAAAGATACCTCCCCAGTAGAGGCCATTTCACATCGGAGAACAGGGTCAGCATCTCTCATTCGGGACCAGGAAAACATTGGGGCCTGGTGAAGGAAAGAGGAAGGAGGAAGAAAGAAAAAAAAAATTAATGGATCATTTAACAAAATATAAAAATTCCATTCATGAATTTATCCAGAAAAAAAAAAAAAAGCAGTGGTCAAGGCTGACAAGCAAAGAAGTACTTGGCAAATTAGATCCCCCAGTATTGTGGTGACAGACTGGAACAAACAAACATGTGTTTCACCAATATATCAATCTTGCAACCAATAAATCAACTCTTACAGTCCTGCTCACATTCCAGTGGTCAATTTTCCATCAGTAGCATCAGTATCATTTTAAGGACACATTTTAAAACAGAAAGGTTGTGAAGCATCTAATTCATGGAATAAGGAAAGATGCTATCTGAATCCAGTTGCTTATCCTGGGAACACTTTTCTCCATGAAATTTTTCATCCACAGAAACAAATCTATTCCACAAGAAGGCACACTTATGGTGTGAACAAGAAGAAACTTTGCAAAAGACTTTCATATTTTCCCTCTCCTGCCCAAAACACACATGTAATTTTCTTCTAATCTTTGATATGAAAATATTAAACCCTCCTGGGCATTATCTGAGGACCTATGTGATTGCATTCTCTGAGTTCTCATGTCTAATTTGACCTTAAAATAACTAATGGGGGACGGGAGGAAAAGAAACTGTTAAAGAGCCAATGAACACATGTGAGAAACACGGAACAAGTTTCCTGCTAAGGAATTATTTTCTACAGGGTTTCTCCACGCCTTAAAATACTAACAGCACTGACATAAGACAGTATCCTTATTGCTTAAAAGAGAATCTGTTTTCAAATCCAAAGACACAATTCTGTTCTTGGAAGTCTCCAAGGGCAATACTGCAGACATGACAGCTGCTGTTTCATGACACCTAACAATAACCAGTCACAACGTGACCACAGAAATTTGAAAGGCTTCTCAAAAAATGTCATGTGCCTTTGTGACTTTTAGATCAGTTTAGTTTCTACTGCAAGCAAAGAGAAAATTTTTGCAGTGGCCACTCTACAGTCTCAAGCTGAGACATGGCAGTTAAGGTGAATTATTTTAATGCATCTATTGTCTTGAAAGGTAATAAGCAGCAAAGGTTTCCACCAGCTCCCTAACTTTTGTCTGCCACAAACATGAAAATGCATCAGCAGGAGCACACTCTGGTCTGCAACTAATCCAATTTAAAACTTAGTCAGTCTAGTCATGCTCCATCCAGGATTCAGTCTTGGTCAGGCCTTGATACTTGAGTGAGTCTGCAAGCAAACATGGCAAGGCAGCATTTCAGTCACCAGCTAAAAAAGTGGAACTCCAGTACATAAAGGAGCAGCTATGTTGGGAAAGATAAAAAGGGTTTTATATCCTCTTTTAAGAACTGCTGGAGGAGTAAGATCCCATCTCCATGTAAATATCCCTAGCAATAAATTATAAAAGGATGGAAAATATGATGCATGAATAACAACAAACAGGTTAAACTGGAATATCCTTCCAAGTTTAGCACTTCCAAAGGCATTAGCAGGTTTTTATATTTGTCAAATCCACACAGAACACAAGGAGCATAAAAGGCTTTGTAGGGAAGTTTTCAATAATATAGTTGGGTTTTCCTCCCTGTAGCTAGCATTCCCAGGAGAGACAAAACCCTTGACAGTTTAGCTAACAGCAATGCAGAAGTCCAAGGTCTAAATGGTAGAAATTTTAAAAAATAAATAAGACTCACAAAAGTAAAAAAGAAGTCTCAAGTTTGAATATCAGATCCTGCCTGTCTGAGGCACCAAAATAAAATGTAAAGCCACTTGTAGACTGATTTGATTGACAATAACCTGAGCTGGCTTGGGCCACAGATTTGGCTTGTGTATAAATAGGTCTGAACATTTTATTAGTAGAAAGATATTAGGTGTTTTCTGCCTCCTCAGTTTTCATTTGATATGGAAGCTATTAAAGCTTGAAAGTTTCGGTATACACAATTCTCATTATCCCTTGGATTTTCTGCACTGCTGTTCTAGATTTTTACGATTAGGAACTTCAATTAGGTTTTTTTCTTCCACTAAGCATTCAAAAATATCTGCAGTACACTTTAGTAGCTTGGCTGCTATAAAAGCTTAGTAATTATGAAAAGTAAAATCTTGGCCCCACTGAAATCAAAGCACCCAAGACTTTCACCCCCATTTTAACTGGTGGTGTATATACAGGGGATTCCATGCATTTAGCAGCCCATATGCCAAATGCTGAAGATGAAATCTGGGAGCCACTCATAACACAAAGGTGTCCACATGTATATCAGATAGTATTATGAGATAGCCTGAACTTCAGCGTTTGATTCTGCAAGTGCAAATTTATTCTGCAGTTCATACACATAGAATCATAGAATCATCACATCATCAAGGTAGGACAAGATCTCTAAGATCATCAAGTCCAACTATCAACCTGCGACTCCGCTGTACCATGAATTCAGAGGAGATCAGAAGTAAAAAATAAAGGAAGATGAATTTTGTTAATAATCACTGGGTAATTTTCCTTAGATTTTTCTCTAAAATTTCCAAGTACATTATCTGACAGAAACTACAAAAGGTCAATTTAGCCTTTGGTCAATGAGTAAATTGTTCCCTCTGGACATTAAAGTACTCATTGCCTATTGACACCCTCTGTGCTGGCTCTGCGGTGGGTTTTTTTGGTGTTCTTTTGGAAACCATACCTTAACCCCAACATATTTGGATGAAATAATGGGACGTTCCATTGTGGGGAGGGATGATTCATCAATCTCTTTTCCAATCATCACTTTAGTGGCCACATCAATGAAGTCCACACCCAGAGTCTTCGATACAAAGGGGAAGGAGCGTGAAGCGCGCAAGTTGCACTCTATCACCTGTTGGGATTACAGAAGGGAAGTACAAGGGTCAGGCAGTGTTAATGTGCCAGAGGCATGGAAACATACACACAGGTATTAGGTACAACCTCTAGAAGCCCACCCTGTTCTTTTGCCATGGTAATGGCACTTCATGAACGACCAGGCAACCCTTGCTGACTTCCCTTACACACATGTAGAAGTCATTCAGTGACCCAAGAAAGGGTAAATTAAGACGGAATGGAGAAGGGGTGATTATCCAGGGAAAAGGCAAAACACAGCTGAGGTAAAGCAAGAAATGAGAAACTCCATTCTGTTCCTCAGTGGAGTTTCTGAATAACTATGTGAAACAGAAAAGGAAGGTGACGAACAGTAAGTACATTTTACTCAACTAGAATCCCAAACAGGATCTTTCACCTATAATGCATCTCTTCTGTTCCAAGTCAGGTTTTCTTCCCATTCTCTGCTTCCTCAGCCATACTCTGTTCACATTCCTCTAACCTCCTTCCATAACCAATAGGAGGCCAAATGTTACCCAAAAAGGGTCAGACATCCACTGTACTTCTGTTACTGATAGCTACTAGGACTATTTAGATAACCATCTTAATGACCTATATTAAAGGCTTAAACACCTACACTGTTTGTCTTTCCAACCCTTTGGGAGGCTATATTTAATATCAAAATAGCTAAAGCTGAGAGAAGAGATCAGAGATCTAGAAGCAATGATAGGATGAGCAACAGGTCTCAGAGCATTCCATCCTATTCAAAGCTGATGATTTTGGGAAGGACAGCAGCCCACACTGAAACAAAGCTGGTGCTGACAGACAAGGCAAACAGACTTGCTTAACCCTCAATATGAAGGCAGGGGAGGATACTCTCTCGCACACAAGCAGGGAGAGCTGTGTGATTGGGGTGGCACAGGTGAGGCCACAGCACCAGACAAGTTAGTTGGCACAGCTGCTACTGCCACAGAGTTTCCATGGCCATGCACCTAAGCAGATCCTGACTTCGTCGCACAGCCACAAGAGCTCTTACCAGCACATTGTTGCCTTGCACCAAGAACTGGATGTTAAACGGACCAGAGATGGCAAAGGCATTTGCAATCTTTTTTGTAGCAGCTTTTATCTATAGGAACAAAGAAATACAGTGAAAATGTGTGTATATAGAATAAATAAGTCCTACAAGATAGACAGCATCATGGCAATAAATCACCTCATGTGTGTTCCTTTAAATGTCATCTCTCTCTGCCCTGTTTTCACTCTGCAACCTCCTTTTGGCAATAGCATTATTTCGGAAGCAAACATGTTTAATTTCCCTGGTAACCTAGAGCTTGAAGTGCCATTTGAGGGCAGAAGTAAAAATCAGCTTCGTGTGTGTGTGAGAAATCAGGGGGGAGAAGGAGAAAGAGAGAGAATCAAAGTCTTGCCCTGTAGCAATTCCTACACTGCACACTGGAGCCTTTATACCTTTCTTTGTGACATCATGAATAATGTTTTGTCATTTGAGGAAAAACTACTCAGCTTTATAAGTGTCCTAAAAGTCTTTCCCCAATATGCCTATCTCAATCCAGAGTAGTGGGAGGTGCCTCAGCAGATACACTCTGGAACAAACTGGGAGGAAAGTTATCTTTTCCAGGTTTGTCAGTACAAGCATTTGAATGGCTTTGCTCCCGGAGATGGCTATTTGCAGAAACAGGGCCTTGGACATTCTTGGAAATGGAGCTGGAGTACAGGCCATTGCATTATAGCTCTTGTTAACTTCCAAACAAACCCTTAACAGGATGGCATCACAGCAGATGGCACATTTTATTTTAAAAATGCATTTTGACAACTAACTGTATCACTAAGTTTATTCTTGAAATGGGAAAAGTCAGGATTAGGTGAGGTTCATTCATTCCAATATTACTCTTGGAAAAAGAGGCAGCTAGAAAGTCATACACCTGATATAATCATTTAAGGATTGTGAGAGAAAAGGCAGTGGAAAGTGAACCATGGCATATGTATGAATTAGCTAATCTGCTTGTCCTGGGTTGCAGTGTAGGGGGTAGTTTATTCTTGAAATGGGAAAAGTCAGGATTAGGTGAGGTTCATTCATTCCAATATTACTCTTGGAAAAAGAGGCAGCTAGAAAGTCATACACCTGATATAATCATTTAAGGATTGTGAGAGAAAAGGCAGTGGAAAGTGAACCATGGCATATGTATGAATTAGCTAATCTGCTTGTCCTGGGTTGCAGTGTAGGGGGTATCCATGCCATGG